TTGTTTCTTAACTTTTCTTGAACCAGGAATTGAATGGCACAAACAGAAACATTTTAACATCCCAAATATGTTATATGCAATTAAACAAAAATAAAAACATAAGTGAATACGGCAAACTCATGGCACATTTCGTACTTGAGATTTCCTCTCACTTCGTCATCAATATATAAATCGTACTCTACTCCGAACTTATTGGTAAACAGCATTACTCATGTTCGGCAGAATCTCACAGCAATAAAAACATCCTCACGGCAACACAATACACACTATTTAAAGAAGAGATTGGATACCTTTTTGCCTCGTTACTTTACTTACCAATTTCATAGATGGTTCAAGTATGAAACAACGGCTCAATGCAAGGTAATGAGAACGATAAAACGATAATGATTTTAAAAAACTGCATCTTGAGGTATCTTGGGGCCCAATTAAATTTCCATCGACAAAATTATTATCTATGTTTTGTTTACTGGCAAGAGATTACCATATTTGCAATCACTGTACTTTAAACTTCAAACATACATGTAAATAATTAAATAGCAATTTGGATGCACAGCCCAGTTACAGAATGCGATAATTAATACTACTTGCTATAAATTCGGAATAAGTTTTACCACGCTAATTTAATATCGAAATCTCAGCAACGATGGCCACAGTTCGTAACTCTGAATACAATAGGTTATATAATACTACTATTTCGTGTTTATTTCTTTTTCGTATGCGGGTGCGTTTTATTTTCAACGATTCAGAATTTGAGAGGGCAATCACAAACTGCTCTCCTGAACCAAAACCAGTTAGGGAATTTAAAGTAGCGATTTATTCATATCAACACGGCGTCATCCTTACCCAACCACATTCCTTGGCAGTAAATATCTTCCTGCTCCAACGTAGCACCTCGCAATCTCGACGCTAACTAAATGCCACCTCGAAGATTCCAAATGGAAATTTTTCTTGGGGGGATTCACGTGTCACGATTGCTGATATTCTATAAAAGAATTAAAAATCAAGTATCTCATGTAGCGGTACTAAGAGCACCTATTGCATTTATAATACTGCACGAGGACATAATAGAACACTACTTTTTAAAATGAAGGCACTTTAACTTCATTACTAATATTAAGATTTTTTTGCATATGATTGAGAGTCCGACGACAAAAAATTGGGTATTTTGTCTCAAATACATTTCTCTTCATTATGCTTCTATTAAGGAACAGGGGAGCGACTATGCGGACATGGGTAGATCTAAGGAGCTATCAAGTTAACAAAATTGAGGTGCCTTTAGGGAAATCATTTACGTACATAAATTACATTATATCTTTAAAATATGATAAAAATATTATTTGCCTTACGTCGGTCTTATTCAGATTGTTTTAAATTTTGGGCAATGACAGCTACAGCAGATCAGAGAAACGCTGGACAGTCTTGCAAAGATAAGGCAGCTGGATGAGTCACATTTACAAATATTACATTATGCCGATTAAGAATTGAATATTTGCTCAAATTTGAGGAAAGACGCATTAGAAAATTTCAAAGGAAGGAGCACAAGTTCTCAGTTACGTCACAATCTCCTGACGGTCAGGTGGCAGCGGGCCTTCGAAACGCCGAACCGCCGCCCGCTGCCGTGCCTGGCCTTGGCGGAGGCTACGGACCCGGAAAGCACCCGCCTCGCCCCGCCCCGCCGCGCCCCCGCGCCGCTTTCCGAACCCCGCGCGCGGGCGCCGCTGCCGAATTATTTCAGCTGACCGCGCGCCCGAGAACAAAAACAAAGGTCCCACACGCGGAGGGCACGCAGAGCGGATGGCCGCCACGTAAGGCGCGGGCGGACGCGCGGATTGGCGGAGCGCTTTAACGGCCTTGGGCGGCGGGGAAGCCCCGCCCCCCCCCCCCTCGTTGGCCCCCGGCCACGCGCTTGCCTCCTTCTCCGGTGCCCCCTCCCCCCCCCCGAAACGCCGCTTTTAAAAACCTGCCCTAACCTAGCGTCACGGCCGCGCGGGCGAGCGTAGCGGCCGGGAGAGGAGTGGCCCAGTGGGCCGAAATTACAGCCAAAACGCGCTGTTTCCCCTCATTTCAATGTAAACGATTCAATCAATATTTTTATGGCGTATGCATAAACATAACAGTGTTTCATTTTTCATCAAGTTTCTTGAATATGGAATCCTTTCCCATTTATTCTTAGGGAGATAAAAAAGGAATGCGGAAGTTCTCTTCTTCAAAATCGACATTGTTACAAAAGGTTTCATTCCTATTTTAAATTATTTGGTGAATGATTAATAGTTCTCCAAGAGATTAATCGTGGTCAAGATACCATTCGAACATGACTTGACTTTAAAATGAGTGTTTTCACAGGTAATTACGCATGATTCCATTGTAGAAAGCGCGTAGGATATCCTTCTTCACCAAACCAACAAAGTGTTCATTTTGACAGAATGAGTACATTCTACGCGCTCTTTTGCCGCAACGCGCCCGCGCCCGAAGGCGCCTTTCGGCCCAGTGCGCGGCGGCGGCGGCGGCGGAGCGGAGGGGGCCCGGGCCGCGAGCGGCGCGGGTTCGGTCACGGACGCGGGCGCGGGCGCCCTCTCGCGGTTTTTTTCTTCTTCTTTTTCTTTTCCTTTTTTTGAGCAGCCCGATGCGGCCCCCTCCCCCCGCGGGCCCCGCGAGCGGGCGCCGCGTTGCCAAACGCTCCGCCTGACGTCACCGAGCGCTGATTACCGCGCGCTGAGCCGCGCCGCGTCCGCGTCGCGCGGGCGGGTGGGCGAGCGTTGTGCAGGTACGCGTGGCGTGGCGTGGCGTGGCGTGGCGTGGCGTGGCGTGGCGTGGCGTCGCGTCGCAGTATGCCGCCAGTGATCGGCAGCGGCTCCGCGGGGATACGTTCTCCTTTGAAGTCATTTCCTAAGCAGCCCGTTAAAATAACAGGACGACCCCCAGTAAACATGACAAGGCCGACACAAAATTACACTAATATGTTTTTCCACAATTAAAAATTGCACTTGTCACATCCGCTTTCAATTTCACAGCGCACGAAAAGAATTACGCCTACAAAAGCGCAACGGTAATATCATGTAGTACATCCAGATGAACAACAGTATGTTACACGAGTAACGAAATAACTTACACGGACAATGCAAGATGTGCTTCTTCTCAACACTTAATACTTCGCTAGGTTATTACATCCCACGATATCCTGTCCAGTGTAAAAATTAGCGTAATAGGAATGATACAGCCATTGGTCCGTCCGTCCATTGGTTTAGTTACCTTCTTTGTTTTTTCCGACCAGCAATTTCATTTTTCATTTACTTATGTAGAAGTCGTAGGAATTACATTTCAATTCAATAACGTTACTAAAACTTAATTCGAAATCCTGTTTTCCCAAGGTCAAAAGAGGACGGATAAAAATTAGATTTTGCTTAAACATTACTTATTCACTACACCGTATTGAATATGTCTAGAATAGTATGCATTCACTCATTCTAATGTAATTAAATAAATCATTCTCTTATTTTAGAAAGAAACGAAATGGCGTCATTACCCAGCGCCAAAATAGATTTCACTTCACTAGCTATATAAGCCTTCCTCCATCACCGGCAATATCCAGTCCCAAGTCGGCAAATCCATTACTCTCACACAAAAATGTGTAAAATACGACAAAGAATTACGGACGCTATAATGTCTTTTTCAATCACAAAATCGGGAGACAATCAAAGTATCAAAAATTCGAGTAGTAATAATAAGAGTAATTTCTTGTCACGGAAGGGGCGAACACGAAATTTGAAAAGTAAACTTCTGGACTTACGTCCTCTTTATTTACTCTCCTGCGAATGACAGTGCACTATGTAGTACTTTCGGAAATAAGTAGTGAAAAACTGCCGTTAGCAAAGAACTGGTCAAGCGTGTTTTATTCTCAGTAATTGCTGCTTTAGCTATGTGATAGTAACATTGTTGTTGACTTCCTTACATTAAGAACACTATAGCATTTAGCTAGCTATTAAGGATATAACTAATGTGGCGAAAGGAAGTCGGTATACGACTCCAACCACATGTGACGTGAAGTCGTATGGAGTAAAGGAGTAAAGAAAACGAAACTTCACCAAACCGTTGGTGAACCCACATCCCTCAAAATCAGAACCTTCAGTTTTGACTTCATTAATTAAATTTGTTCAAAAAAATTGTGCCATTAAACTATTGAAAATTCGAAGGCATCAATTGTATAAAACGAAAGCTTTCATAATATAACAATAAACAGCATTTATAACTCAAGAACGACTGGACAAATTTTAATTATCTCTGATTTGTGGGTTTCACTTCCGGCCCGAACAGCAAAATAACTATTAAAATATCGGGAAAATTCACTAGATGGTGCTGTAGAACAAAACTAAATCAAATGCAACCCATAAGGTTCTATATTATTAAATAACTCCTAAACGAAACGTTCTAGGGCATTGAAAACTAAATAACAATTTTTTTAATACCATTGCATTCATTCATGCTGAGCGTGGAAAATCTATACACTGATCTGAGAAATGCTTATAGAATCAATTAAAACATAATAAACGGTTTATATAATCGAAAAATATTGGTTGGTAAACGCGAAGTGGAATTTCCTGAGGCCTTAAACCGACCAGTAATGCATAATTATAGCGCTGTAAACTATCCAATTTTGAGATCCATCACTTAGAAAGTAAACGAGTTTTTTTAAAGCCCGAAGTCAACATTTTTGTGCTAAAATTAGAGACAATGTCTCATCTGTTAGCGATGACTCTAGCTTCCCTTTTGCGAGGATCGACCAGGGAACCCGGAATTTCTGCGATACAGTGGTAATTATTTCCCACATGCACCCCTACGCGTGGTTGAGTGCAATGTTATACCAACATTGCCCAACTTTTCCAAGAAGACAATTCCCACTTCACTGCTGGGTTCAGAAACAAACGCCAATTCAGACTAAGCAATAAATTATATTTTCACGATTTCGGTAGGAATTTATTATTCATTTTAATGAATTCATTCACAATCGATACATGAATTAGTAAGTGAAAGCTTCCGGTTGCGGGCGGATCGCTGTAAGCGGCCGCTGCGTGCGTGTGAAGGCCGGAGGGTGGGGTGGGCGGGAGCGGGGCAGGGCAGAGGCCCGCGGGCACGGTCGATATGCGCACGAGGAAAACGCTGACGGGAGCGGCGGCGGCGGCAGCGACCAGCGACGCCTCCACTGCGCCACCAGGTCGATACTTCGCCGCGTCCGCAGTGGGGACAACTCCGCCCCGGCGTCTGCCCAAACCGCATTCCGAAACTGCTTCTTGGACGCAGCCACTATAACGATTACCGCCGTGTCCTGAGACTCATCGAGTATTCTTCATTGGACGAGGTTCGCCTCGCTATTAATGAAGACTGGCATTTATTACGGACATTACAAGTGTACGTCAGAACGGAAATCGGGATAAACGATTTGTCTGTCCCGAAATGGGTTCCATAATGCACACATGTTTTAGAAAACATAAGAATTTCCTTTCCAGTTTAAGAGCATTACATAAAAATATCATTCACGTGAATGAAAAAAAAACATTTTTAAAACGTGGGTTAAAGGTTGACTGAATGAAAAAGCGTGGGCTAGTATTACGACGAAAAATTGTAATATTATGGAATACGGTATTCATAACACTATAGTTAATATTAATATTTCTGTTACACAATGTATTCTGTTACAATGTTTCTGTCCTCACATTCGTTTCGGATCATCGGAAATACATTTACTCAGAGCGCGTAGCGAAATCAAGAGACCCGGGGCAGTAGGTCCACAGGCTACGCCTTATTTCAAACAATTTCTCGGTCCCCTCCCCATACAGAAACATAATTCATTTCTCCAGGCAACAGAAATAACTTATAGCGTTTGATTCGAATTAGAAGAAAATCTATTTGTTGAATGAAACAAATTCAGGGCCCCAATGAGCCTAGAGAAAGTTGCTCCCTCCCGCTTTTGGGTGGCCCTCCGTTTACTGTAACAGTAATCAGCCGACAGAATTACCTCCAGTGGGACAGCATTTTCTTTTTAAGTGTATTGAACTCAAATTTCAAACAAGCAAATGCTCGTAAAATTTCACAACAGCAAATATCCAAAAGAAGTTTCACGTTTATTGCCATAAATTTAATATTTATTCAAATTTAATTAACAAGAACTGTAAAGGGACGTTTGCGAATGACAAACATCACACCTATATCCGAAGCACACTATCAATTCATCATTTTTACAACTCTTTTTCATGAAGATAAGATGTATTACACGAATATATATTAATACAATTCGCAACCATGAAGATACTACTACAGAAACAACAAATCTGAGAAATAATATAAAAATAGTATTGGCAATTTCACTTTCCATTGCACTAATAAACGACAACAGGCAAATCATGTCACAGTCGTGATCGAACACACGAGGAACTGCGGAAAAAAAGCCTGTCACGACAAACGCTCGTACAGACCTCCACCAAACATTTTTGCATGACTGGGCGAACTTTGCGACGGCCACGTCGACGGGGATCAATAACGGCGTCTCCGCACCACACCGACACCGGACCACACCCATCACCTCAACGCGCCGCGCCTTCTCCGCGGCCGGGCCGCCGGGAGCCCTTCGCCACGAGGAGCGCGGGCGGCGCGGGGCGCAAGGGCCCGAGCAGCGGCACACGTCCGCAGGCGGGGCGGGGCGGGCGGAGGTGGGGCGGCGGGGGCGGGGCGTGGGCGGGGCGGGGCGCGGGATGGGATGGGGCGGTGAGCAAGGGAGGGCGGGGGAGGGGATTCGCGAGAGAGCGAGAGAGGTGGCGCGGCGCGCGCGCGGCCGGCGCGGCGCGGCACGGCGGTGGCACTGCTTCCTCGGGAACCGGGTCACGGCGTCTCTCGCGGTTGCACAGCGAGCGCGGCGCCCCGTCCGACAGCCCGCACTCGCGCCCAACGAGCAACACACGCCGCACTGCGCACTGTTTTGTGGACGGAGTGTCACCCGCATCACAAAAGAGAGAATGGCGTCTTTGAACGTGGGTTTGACGCTTTACGAATACACACGAATACATGTTTGTAACGCTGCTGGCTTGAAAACTGACAGCAGCCAATCCAAAATTACTTTTAAATGAAGGCGGGGTCTATATATTGCGCACTGCGACAACTGCGCAGTTAGGAAATTTTTGTGACTGGAGGAGACCCAGAATTATGTTCTTCTAACCTACTCTAAATTGGATACTTGTGAGATACGCAAGTGGAATATTGCATTCAGGAATCACCCTTCTGTAAACAACACTGTCGGTTTCCGCAAATACTGATATTTCGTAACAACTAACACTTCTTTGAGGCGGCTTTTGAAAACTCATTATAACAAGGTTTACTCGCTGGGGGAAATGCGTTCAAGTGTACTCTACCACGCATCCACTGAAAACAACAAGCAAAGACCGGTGTGAACTGGCAATAACCGCGAGCGTCCGAAGTCTTCCAGGAAAGGCGTTCCACCCCAACAAACGGCCAGCGCAAGTTCGACAAGCCTAAAGCGACGGTCGAAAGGACGAGCTCGGACGGCACGCATAGCGAATCGAGAAATTTCGCCGTCAGCAGGTGCCAAAACCGAAGCCGACAAAGCAGCTCGATGTTGCTCCACGCGGCCAGCGGCGGCGCTTCAACTTACTGGAGGCTGGTAGGGATGCGGTGCACCGCCCGGCTCCGTCATCTCCCCGCGTCGCGAGGACATTGTTCACATGGTTGCCGACAGTCACTCGGGCTCCTGCCTGCGGAGGCGGACGCGGCGGCGGGCGGCGGGCGAGCGCCTCCGTGTCCGCCAGAGAAACTGGCTGCGCTGGAGCGCGCGCCCGCCGCCCGCCCGCCCGCGGGGCCCCGCGAGCTATCCGCTTTAAGCCGCCGCGCGGCGCGCTAACTGCGCAGTTCGCCGTATCGATCGCAGCGCTGCGCCGCGCCGCGCTGTCAGCCGACGAACGAGCGGAAAGGGACAGGGACGGGACGGGAAGAGCAGGATGGGATGAGATGAGGAAAGGAAAGAAAGGGTGGGGTGGGCCGGCGGGGAAGAATGGGGTTGGGAGAACGGGGTAGTAAGGACTTTGTTGGAGACTGGTCGAAAAGGAGGGGAAAACAAAGCGGAGGGACGCGAGTCATGAATCAATGGGTGTGAGGGGGTGGCGCAAATTGGGCGAGCAGGAAAAATTGAGAGAGGAGTGGAATGGAATAGAATGGAGTGAGTAGGTGAGGTAAAGCCAAGAGGCCAATGTGGAATGAATGGGCGGAAGTGGCGAGACGAAGTGCACTAGCAACGTGAGGTGTGTGTGTGTGTGTGTGTGTGTGTGTGTGTGTGTGTGAGAGAGAGAGAGAGAGAGAGAGAGGAGGGGGGAGGAAAAGAGAGGGGGGAGGGAGGGAGTAAGACGAACTTGACGGGTGGAGAAGACAGATATGAGATGGGTAGGTTTTTGGCGAGAGTGTGAGAGGGTGCAGAGTGAGTGGGTAGAACAAAACGGGGGCGGGGAAGCAGTACAATGAGAGCGGGGTGGTCGAGTTCTGAACAGAGAGTGGCGGGGAGCGAAACGTCGAAAATGAACGCGAAGCGAAAATGATAAATCCGCCGGGAGCGAATAAGGTGGACGCATCATGTTAGTAGTTGGGAGGAGGGCAACACTCCGATTGCGATGATTTGGGACATCGACCTACAGACATTTCAATGTTGCCCTCCATTCCGTGTTTTCCCAAGATTCTCATACACCCACTAGTCCTCATAAGATTAAAAACCCTCTTGAATTGGATCTAGAGGAGCGAAACGAGTAATTACATTGTCTCACTGGGTGCCAGCGAGTAGAATTTCCTTTTCCCTAAACGTCCACGTCATGGAACTGTATCCGAGCAGAGGCACGTATCTACCTTCTATTTACAGGTAAAACGCCGACGCCCTTACATAAGCATGCCTCTGTCTTCACGTGTCGCCTCACATGACAGACGTCCCATCCACGTCGATAACGATGCATTCTGCGAACAGTCGCAAGCGTTGCTGCCCCGGCCCAACGGGTGACAGCGCAAACAACCGCAGCCCTAATACGCTAGAGGCACCCCAACGCACATTGTGAAAATTCTCAGATTTTAATTGAAATGAAATGAGTACGTATAATTTTGAAATGAGTACACCAAAGAAACATCCCACCGGTTTGCATATATTTTTTTTAGTACAAATTCATGGAAACGTACAAATATTTGTAGGTACTCGGGATCAATCTCCATATGCAAGGTGACAACCATGTTGATTCCTATCGTCAGTCTCAGTGTTTTCTTTACTTTGCAGTATTCACTTGTTTCAAAAATGACCATTGCATCTTTGCCGTATGCGTATGCGAATTGCAAAGCAGCACTTTCCAATCAATAAACAGTGAAAGTATACTACTTTCCATGCACGAGTGTTCAAAGTGACTTAATGGACGCTCTATCACTACATTTTATTTTCTGATATTTTTTATACAAAATGCCACAAAAATACTACTCATCTCCTAACACAGAGTATACATACTTATTTATAAAGAGTTTACTATTTGGATCGATTTTGTCTCCATTTCGGCAACCACGACTCCCGATGAGTTCCAACCAGTCCCAAACGGATCAGTTGAGCAGACCACGCCCACCTTCATCATTCGGTCTTACCCGCATCTACTCGCCTCCAGCGCGTGATCGTGACGAAAAGCGACGCGCTATTTCGAGCGCTGGCGGCGTTTGGAGGGCTATTTAGGCGCGGGGACTTCAAGTGCGCTCCTCCGAAATCTGCGTCTTGCTCCAGACCCACGAGAGTCTTACACATGTACTCGTATTATTACTTCTGATGACAAGAGAGCAAAAACTTAAATTCAAAAGGCGTCTACAGAATTTACACAACAATGCTCCGAAAAAAAGTTCATGAATTCTTCACTTTAGCTCCTGTTGCAAACGAAAGACGGATAATACTAATGAGAATCGATTGAAGTAAGTGGCCAGTGCAGGGTGGCCACTCATTTCGTAGAACATATATTTCTCTGACTTCTTCCGGTTTGCAATGCATTTTTTCTCTCTTATAAACTTTGTAATTTTACACTTCTTAAAGAAAATGTTAAAGCTTCCCTAAAGTTAATTGTTCAGCTCTGGGGTTTTGCCGTTACAAAGTACAAATAAACAGATTTTTTTTTACTGAATAAGAACTGAACAAAAAATATTTGTTGTTGAAATGCTATACTGAAGATTTAAGGGAATAACATCTAGATCAATAACCCTCTCAAAATTATCCATGATTTCAAACCATTCTTTTACAAATTGAATGATTTTCCCTGACTTTTCCAAAGCAATGAAATTCCGTGAGTATTCCCGTTTTCCATGTTCCTCAGAAAGTGGCCACTATGCAATGACACTAAAAGAGTCGGAGAATTGAAGGTCTCCCAATTAAGCACCTGTCTCATAATGAGGGCGAAGCCTAAGTTGAGAGCTGCGAACTTCCAAAAAGAAGTATCAACTCCGCACGGACGACTTTCTTTGCGAGTTTTGTTCGTCGTAGCAAAAGGGGTATAACTCGGGTACTACTGGATTTGTGCCAATAACCACAAAGAACTACCGTACTCTCAATCCCGGTCAAGTTCTAGACTTCACTCGTTATCTGTTTATTTATTAATTTTACATATTTCACGAATTAATTGTCCATCATACAACATTAAAATAAAATTTACACGGTCCTGTATATGAAGTGTCAAATGTGAGAGACAAAATTATGTATGAATTAGTCAATATATGGTGTAAATTCTGACAGAGTAAAAAGATGAAAACCAAACAGCTGAGTAGTGGTTTATTCACCACCAACCACTTACATATTGTTTGCCACTAAGCATTTCTCACTGAATGAAATTTTTTTCTGCTGGTCATATTTCCCATCAAATAGCGAACATTTTTTCACGCGAACTTTTTTCACGAGTTCATATTTAGTATCTCAAATGAACGCACTGCAAGTGTATGTATTTAATGCTCACACTTGGCCTAAGACACACAAGAACTAAAAAAAAAATCGCTACATTATTTACATCGTGGCGCGGTGTGATAGGACACAAACCACATATTCAAGGCCACTAAAAAACAAAGTATACTTAGCCATTCACTGGCAAAACCTGGAGTGAGCTCGCGCATATCAAACACACCTTTACACAGAGGGTCCGTCGAGGGTATCGGAACGTTATCGGGTCTGTGAGAAGGGAGTAGCGGACAACGCTGCTGACAGGGGCCCGTGGGTGAGTCACCCGCACGCCCGCCCGCCCGCTCGCTCGCTCGTTGCGTCATCGCTGCGGGCAGGAAAACACGCAAGGCGATGGGCTCACTTACTCGCTCACCCGCCCGTCCGCCAAAACGAGAGCTCGTGCAAAGACGTTCGGCTATACAGACACCCACCTATCCGCGCACTCGACTAGCCTTTTTCGTCAGTAATACACCCTGCTAATAAACACTGGGACAATTTTCTGTATTAATCTAATAGAATGGAACCTGATTTTCAATTAACATACTTAACCTTCGGGTTGTGAAAAGGTCTTTTCAGAACTGTTGAAATGTTCGTTAATATTCTAAAAATGAGTGTGGAACAAACACATCTTGTGTAATTCTTAAGAAAGGCACGAAAAGTACGCTAGTTAAATCTGGAAAACAAATGTTAAAAAGAATGCTTACAATTCAACACACACATCTGTGGTGAATGGGTCACTTACAACCTGACATGCAACAACATTTTTTTCTTGATCTTACCTATCTGCAAAATATCTTTTCACAACATCTAAACCCCAACCCTTCTTATTCTTCCTTGGCATCGTTGTGTCAGTGAGTTTCGAATCCCCAACGATTGAACACTAAGTAGTATATCGTAACGTTTACTGACCCAGGAAGAGCATGAGAATATATTACACGAGTGAGTTCAGGAATTAATAGATGACCTTGAAAATGACCATAGTTTTAGTTGTTTTTTATTTTATTTCGGGAGTGAAGAAAGTGGAGTTCTTAACATCCAATAAAACTGTTGTATTATCCTCGTTGAAATAAAAAAGTAAATAAAAATCTGTCCCAATTACAAGAGTATCAGAGAAAATAAGCATAACCGGCTGATTAATATATTTATTCTTTGGGTTTATTTATGAGCCTACAAACTGTTTTCAAGACCGCGTTGTAAATTACACATTAACACGTCATTTTGTCACTGTCTTCCCATTCTTCGAAATCCTAGAAGTAGTAGGAATACAAGGAAGAACACAGATAAAGGCCGGACTTCCTATTTTAATTAACTATACTTTTGGAATGTAATTACCAAAGATGATTCACAATTTCATGAAGATTAATGATTTCCCGATAAATTAATAAGAGGATAAATGAATTGAAAATTCACAATAAACGACAAAGATAAAGAGAAAACGAGTAATTATTAGAGCTAAAAGCAAATGAGCAAAATTAAAAGAACATGGAACCAGCCAAAAGATAGATTTGCAAATAGGGAACGCTTCAATGAATGAATTGCCTCATCGAATTAACGCATCCCTCCGTTGCCGCCATTTCACAACGTCTGTGAGATCTGCCATAGGAGGGCTAATCAACCATTGACCTAATCATTGCCCTGGCCCCACCGATTCCCGCCTGCCATCACAAGTCCTTCACGCTCTCACTGCTCGCCCACGCCCCGCTTCCACTCCGCCACGGCGCGCTGCCGCAGAGCTTGTGCAACTCAATCTGGCACCTACTCTTTTTCTCTCCGTGCTCACCCTTCTTACTTTCATTTAGTCCTACTGACGTCTACAACCAACTTGTTCAATAGCTTCAAGATGTTTTCTCCACCTGCCTTCCCCTATTGTATGTGTGAACTTTTCCCGGCATGTGCTGTCATTGAAATGGGACCAACCTACTACGGTGTAATTCCGGGTCAGTCACCCCTCGGTAAAACTTTCAACACGGTTCTTCCCCTCGGTTCTCGAAGCAAAGACTACTCTAATACGTATCTATATATTTTGGTCACAAGAATTACTTTTCCCTTTCATTGATTAAGCATTGGAGATGGGCAAGGTATAAAGCTAAATATCTGAAGAACCACAAAACTACAAATTTATTTTTTTGTTTCCTTACCGTCATATATAATAATCTCCTTTGGTCTTGTTTTCTGGCCTTACGCAGTATTATTTAAAGTAATTTCCGTGGCCACTTGCACGCGCGCTGTCCTCGCAGCGCCTGGCAAATCCCCGGTCGCCCGCAATTTGGCCGGGCGATTGGGCGGCGAGCGTGGTGAATGCCAAATTGTGTGCGTGCTCCGGCCGCGACAATGCCGCGCGTCGGCGTGGACCGAGCGCGAGCGCGCGGGGCTTCTTCTCGCAAACAAGAGGGCGCAGCTCCGCGCCGGGCCGGGCCGGGCCGGGCCGGGCCGGGCCGCGCAAAAAGCGCCCGGAGCGGGCCGCGGCGTCGCGTCGTCGGCGTCAAGGCTACCGCGCCGCCGCGGCGTGCCAAACTGTGGCGCGCCGTGCCCCGCGTTTGTTGTTCGGGACGAGCCGGAGGATCTTGACACCGGCGCGGCGCCGGGGGCGGAGGCGAAGGCGAAGGCGAAGGCGAAGGCGGAGGCGGAGGCGGCCGAAGGAAGCCGTGGCGCGCCCACGGGAGCGGAGACGAGGCGCTGAGTGACGGAGGAAGGTGTGTTGCCAGGCGCTCCCACACACACGCGGGCAGGTGCGCTCTAATCACCAGCGCGTGGAAGCACAAGCGAAATAGGGGACCGAGAACAACAGACACTGACGCTCGACGCACTATTTTTAACAGATGAGCCGAATGCACTGCGAGGGAATAATGGAAGAGGGAGAGAGAATAGCAGAGATCATGCAGCAATACATGAAACAAATGATCAACTAGCAACAGCATGAATAAATCGCAGGGATGCCGAGTCTAGACACAGGTTGCATACAGCTCTCCTGACATACAATTTAGAAAAGCAAGTAGAATATCTTGCAAACATCTTACAGACAAGCCAGCTCATACATTTGCAATTTTGCAAATCTGACTAATGAATGTTCACAAGTAACAAAGGGCGAATACTGTAAAAGAAAGATAGCTTTTACAGCGAATCCGTCCTGGAATCACCTTGACGCTGAGTTTACGAAAACCCGTTTAATGAGTACTAGAATCAAAAGATGGATGTTGTATTAGGCTACAAACCAAACGCAGAAGGCAAGGGTAGTAATGAACAAGTAAGTTGAGTTTGTGCAATCAATTTTCCAAAATATTCATTTGGTAAGATGAGGAATAACAGATTGAATATTGACAGTAACGTGCAATATATTTTTGTTAGATTCGTTCGTTTTCGTCACACATCTTCAGTAATAATAGATTGTCTCATTTCGTCAAAAGAGAAATCAACTTCGCGTCTCGTAAAGCAAAATTTTTCGCGCTTTAAGTGTACCTTCATATTATAACATAACTTTTCATAAAGATAATGAAAAAAAAAATTTGCACGTACGATTTTTATAATTAGAAATAACATTGAGTTACCAGGTGAAAATCCCTTGTTGACTATTACTAGTTAACATACGATGGCGTCACGTTGTGAAAATTAAACACCTGCCAGTATGGAGTCGTGTCTGTCACGTTGAAACTAAGTACACATTGAATCCTTTCTTCGAAACGCTCATCCTCGTTTAGTTTTATAACGCCTGGGACGATTATGCAAGAAAACTTACCTAGATTACCTACCACTATCTTTATTTCTTGTCTCTAAATTCAAGTTTCAGTAAAACGAGTAGTGAAATCAAAATCAGCGCCAAAAACTACTAATTCGCAAGTGTTGAATGTCACACATCTGTAGGAAAAGCAAATTATTATTTCCCTCAGGACGTTGAGAACAATTATTGTTTCCACTTTACGGATTAAATTTAGATTTAGATTTATTCAGTCAAAAAACAGTAAAAACTGTCTGTGTCGGAGGGGGGAGAAGATTATCTTCCAGATGAGTACGAACTATCAAAAACTAACATATAACGAAGCAATAAGGATCGAAGGCAACAGTGATTATAGCTGCAAATACCAATCAATTTTGAACTTCTAAATAATTAAAAAAATTTGCAAAAACTAACAAAATGTATATTTGACTGCGAACTGAAATGCCAAAAACCAGCAGTATTCTAATAAAATCCAAGAATCAAAAGGATACTAATTTTCGACACATCACAAATTACTAAGAGACCTACTGACAATCACGGTTCGCTTAAACTTTATTCTAAACGTACTAATAGCTCCTATATTATTTCGTCATAAGTCCAAGAAAGCAAATATTTGCAGTTCAATAATGGGTGTCATTAACGAAGTTGCTTAGGCGTGTGCAACCTAAAACAAGAGGGTGGACTAACTTCGGGGCCCCAACCTCCACTGAACTTCAACATTTAATGTTACATATTTTATAAGTAAATAAAACAGAGTACAATGAGGTTGACATTTTAACTCAATTGATGCAATTATTAAATATAGTAGATGTTATGATGAACCGTTTACAGGGTTCCCAGATGGCTTGGAACGCCTCCTTCCCCGATGTGCAACAATTCCCCAAATTGTCAAGTTAAAAATGTTATACCGCATATGGCCACTTCAAAAATCAAGGAGATCAGAGCCCATATCAATTATGGAGAAAATCGGCTGTACGGTTTAGCTGCTAGCGTTGTTCGCAGACGCACGGACAGACGTTTCACCACGACCCAATAGATTTTCTTGTCAAGAACCCACAAAACATGGATTCTGGCTACACCACGTGTTAGTGGATGTTTTTGTAAACTTAGCAACTGGATTTTCTCACTTTTTCTTTACCAGCGCCATGTAATAAAAGTTTTTCTGCTAAAAAGTCATGTTTTTCGCGCAGCATTATACAACTTTCTCTCTACTGCGTAAGCCGTAGGGAGAAAGTAAAATACACATACAATAGGACGTTTTGGGCAAGTTGAATACAAACATAAACTTTAAAACCTAGGAGTGGATTTTACAAGGGGGCAAAAATCTTCCCAATCTCCCCATCTTCAATCCTCATAAACATACTATTAATTGTCAATCTAGAGTACGGGCAATTGCAGCTGAAACAACGTGAAAAATCACGGGTTACGAATGCAAGTTCCATGAAAGTTATGATCTCGTAGCCTTGTGATTATGCCTTGTAGGATAATGAAAATCTATTCCGTTAAATGTGTTCGAAATAAATAAATAAATAAATAAATGAAAAAACTTCCGGTGGCTACGAATTAGTTCGCCGGTGTTGGATTCTCGACCTCGTGGATATCGGGGTTCGGGTTCGGCACTCGGTCAGCTTCGAACAGTCTGGGAGTACGACGCCACAACAAGGAACTTTTCTTAATTACCCTAAGAAACACACTCCGCCGTTCTCACCTCCCCCTCACTCGGTCAAAAGTTAATTTCGCCGGGCCCCCGCTATCCGGCGAAGCCTCTCCTCGCGCCCGCGCCGCCGTCGAGGACTTGTTCAACGCGGCGCGGCGGGGTCGAGCACTTCCACGACGAGGCTGCGCTGTTCCCACAGCGCTCGAGCAGTCGAGGGCCCTCGCGCCTCGCCCGCGCCTCGCCCTCGCCCACGCCCCGCAATCGCGCGCGTGACGCAGCGCTTCTGCGCACGCACACGGCGCCCCCGCGCCCCGCCACGCCCCGCCCTCACGGCAGGGGGCCCGGCGCCAGCATCAGTACGTGATCGGCTGTGAGGATATTTGAAAGTTACTGAAAAGCACAATACGATGTGTAGGAAGGGGACAGGGCTGCTTTCGGAGAAGTATTCTTCAAGTTCAAGTGGATAATTATA